GACTCAGCAGGAGGCAGGACCTGCCCATCCTTGGGAAAGCCCCAGCCACGGCTGGGATGAGGCTACAGAGCAGCATGGGCCACCAGAGAGGTGTCCCAGCAGGGACATGCAGAGGGTCACTCCACGTGCTGTGTCCTGGGAAGCCTGCAGGGACATTTGGCTCCTTTCAAGATCTCGTGCTGGATCCAGCTGTGGTGCAACTTTAATTGGTGCTGCTCATCAGCCAGGGCTGGAACTTCAAAACAAGAATTTCCTCATGGTGACTAGTCCCAGATGAAGACATTTCTTGCCCTGCTGCAGTTTGGTTTCTTGGTTGGTTTTTATTTTCTAAGCACAGTATCTGCAGTTTCACCCCCGGTCGTTAAAGCTGCTGTAAAATGTGCAGTTTTGCTCATGATTTTCCTGTTCCTTGTAACAATTGTGCTCGTTTGCTTCAGCCTTTCTCCTCTGGCATGTGGCATCCCCCAAATAAACACTTGAGGCAGTCACCTGGTGTGGTTTTCTCTCTGACCAAAGAGTTTCGTGTTGAAACAAGTCTCCCCTTTTGCTGGGACCTGGAAGTGTTCCCTGACTTTCTCCTACCTTTGAAGTTTGCATTTAAAGGCACCAAAGAATCACGTGGCCTCATCTCCTGCCCTTCTCACCCCTTGTCCTCCAAAAACGTGGGCACTTAGTTTGTCAGGAGGGTGAAGGGGGTCTGCAGGGAGGGGGGGTTAGGGTGACTGAATCGCTCTGGGTGATGGGATGACCTGGCCAAGTGTGACACACAGGGAGATCTGGAGTGGCATTGGTGGGAACGAGCCATTCCTGGCAGTGTGGGAGGAGGGACAGAGGCAGCTGGGTTGAACTGGGCTGTTCTCTGTCCTTCTGCAGGGTCTCCTGAGTTGAGCGAGGCAGTTGGCCCAGTTAGATCAGAGCAGACTTTCAGACTCAGTTTCTCTTCCATCAACTGGTTTATCTTTCCAAGCTCTTTGTTTGCTTGGCCAACTTGGGTTATTCCCCAGCTGCCCCCCCTCTGGCTGACCACTGCTCCCAGCACACCACTGGCCTCCAGCTGTGCTTCCCTGTCCTCCAAGGTGCTCCCACTGCTCTGGTGCCCACAGCTGGTGCAGTCACGACAAACCCATGGCTCAGCCCTCAGTGCTTTTGGAGCATCCTACAATGGCTGGTGTGGAAGTGGGAAGGGTGATCATCACCCCTCCAGCTAACTCAGAGCTAATTGCTCAGTGTTCATGATGCTGGAGCCAGCCCTGCAGCTTTTACTGTTGCTGGACCAGCTAGGGATCCATGAGTTGCTTTTAAGTCCTCTCCAAAAGGTGAGACCATAGGAAGAGCAAGATCTCAACCCTCTGTCAAGCCCTACCCCTCCACAGAAGTAGAATATTTTTGATGAGCTGTATATTTAGAGTAAAAAACTCCCAGTGAGGTTTGACCTTTTGCTCAGGAGACCTTGAATCACATCCCTGGTCAACCGCAGACTGGCTCTGCCACCCGGGTGAGTCATTCCATTTATCCCAGGCTCCAGTTCCCTGCTTGTAAATGCTGGAGACAGAAACGGAGCAGCCATTGGGGAATGTCAGGGCTGCCAGCAGAGGCATGTCCCTGCTGGGATGGGGAGAAGGTTTGGGCAATGGTTGGAGACTCCAGGGAGCTGTAAAGGGACCTGAGATGGTGCTGAGTGAAGAGACATCACCTTCCCTCAGCCACCCCAACCCAGCTGCCTCTGTGTAAACTTGCCTCCAGCAAGTAACTCCTGACAGCAGGGCAGGACCAGGAGACAAAAGGTGCACAGAGGCTGTAGCTAAAACAAACAAGACACCAAAAAGCCTTATGTTCCTGTGATTGCACCAGCAATTCTCCCGGGCTGGACCCAGAGGTGACATCATTTCTGCCTTTTGCTGGGGGAGTGAAAATATTTTACGTGGCCTGAAATAAGTTTAATTTAATTTTGTAATGATTTCGCCCATTTTGAAAGTCTTTTGTAAAGCACAGGGAAAACACAGATGTCAAGAGTTTGAAGGGAAGTGTGGGAATGGAAAGCTTTGCTTTTTCTCCTGGAATTCTCCCTTTCTGTGCTTGAAGACTTAAGTTCAGTGCACACTGAGTTGCTGCTAAAATGAGCATTTTCCTCCAAGGCTTGAGCAGCTTTTCCCATATTCCTGCCCCTTTATTTTCATGGAATCACAGAATAATTTGGGTTGGAAGGGATCTTTAAAGTAATTTTCCCTCATGAAGGTTTTGGGTCCCAGGATGTTGCTTGAGATTCCCAGGGCCTCAAGCTGCCTGTTGGGTTTGAAGCTGGTGGTGATGTTGATCTCTGAAGCTTGGGTTGATTTCCCAAACTTGGCTGGAGACGCAGCCGTGACTCAACTCCCGTGTTACCCAAACGCTGAGGTCTCCATGTGGTGCTGCTGGAGGCAGCTCCTCCCAGCAGGGCTGGGAACGGGAAACGTTCTGATCACGTTGTCCCGCCCACAGAAAAAGAAAAAAAACCCCAACAAAAAGCCCCCAGCAGCCCCCCAAAGGAAGAATTAACCACATATTTGGTAATGCAGAGCGAAGCAGGGGGCGGCACCATCGCATGCGTGTGGGTCTGTGCGCGTGGGTAGATGTGATGGTACCTCCAGCAGCTCCACACCCTGGGCACCCTCCTGAGCCTGGCGGGTGGCGGGTGCTGGTGGAATCTGTTTGGCTGATAAATCAGGAGCGTGTTTGCAACTGGGTCCGTGGAGCCGGCACCGCCAGGTCCTGCCAGCGATGATTTGCCTCCACTCCAGACGGGAAGGGTTGCTGGGATCTGGCTCTTGACTTTGCCCCAAGAAGGGATTGGGGGGTTGTCAAGTCTTTTGGCTCGTGGTTGCAGTGATATTTGAGGTTGTGCTTCTGGACGTTCCAGGCTGGGTCAGAATTTGTCCCACCTGTAGATGCCCCATCCCTGGGGGTGTTGAAGGGCAGAGTGGATGGGGCTTGGAGCAACCTGGACTGGTGGGAGGTGTCCCTGTCCATGCAGGAGGTTGGATCTAGATGGTCTTTAAGGTTCCTTCCAACCCAAACCAGTCTAGACTTCAATGATTCTGTGGTATATATTTTTACCCCACCTCCCCCCGATCTGCTTCCCCACATGATCCAGGACCCAGGATGGGGTTGAGGAGGGTGTGGGATCAGCAGGCCATGCAGGGACTGTCATGGTTTTCAGTGGAAATGCCAGTTTAGTGGCTTATTATGGCTGGGTCCTGAGGCATTTTTGGGAACCAGTGTCTGGGCGATGTTTTTAGAGACATTTAAACATCTGAAGACATCAGGAGTTGCTAGTGTGGATTTTCAAGAAGTGCTTAATTGCCTGTGTCCTCTGGGAACTTCTGAGAACCTTGTTAGACAGCTACCAGCACAGTTAGACACCTCAATAGTCATAAAGACATTTGAACTTCAGAATTTTTAAGAAGTGGAAAACTTATGAAAAAAAAGAATTTCTCAATTAAAAAACCCCCCAACAATTAAAACAAGGCAGCAGTTGTTATTTGATAAGCAAGACAAAAGTATGAATGCAAGATGGGTCATAGTCTTATTATTGCAAGTTTAGCTCCTGAGCTAATCCGTTCCCACTGTGACATCAAACCCAGAGCATTCTGACAATCGTAATCTCATGGAATGGTTTGGGTGGGAAGGGACCTTAAAGCTCAGCCAGTCCCAACCTCCCTGCTATGGAATGGGACACCTCTCACCAGACCAGGTTGCTCCAGGCCCCATCCAGGGGGGCAGAGCACAGCTGACAAGCTTCTGCTTTTCTAAAACCTGGTGACTGGCTCCAGATGAGCTTTGTGAGGACTGGGGACTGCACAGGTGCTCCCCAGGAGGACAGCTGTGCCTGTCTGCCAGAAGGTGTTTGCATGTTAATCCTGAAGGCAGGCAGCTGAAAAACATGCATTTCCTCAAGTAAGAGTTATCGTAGCCTCTGATCCC